AAAAAAAAAAAAAAAATTAGCTGCAACAATTACACTCAGGTTTTAAGGATCAACAGTTACAGGCTGATGTAGCACAGAGGAAAGTACTTAGCTGGTGATACAGTAGGTCCCAAAGATTGGTTGCATCCTGACAACTACTTAAAATTCAGTTTTTAAAGGCAGACACAGACAAAGACTAGACACCACTTTTTTATTTTGTCTTCTAAGTGATGCTGTGAGATTAAATTTGAAACACAAGGGGGAGCTGGCCTCCAGGGCCTAGAAAAACGCCTAGGAAGAACGCAGCTTGAAAAAGCTCAAGCATACCTAATTTATCACCAGCTAAATTTATCACTTCAGGTCCAGCTGATTTACACAGTACTTGATCTGCTTAGATTAAGACGACATAACAAAATCTGTTAGTCAGAGCCTTGCCTCAACGGTCTTGAAATGACAAGGCCAGGTCTCTGCTGCACAGGGCAGTAGGGAGCTGCGGGCTCCCTCAGCTGGAGCTGGTTTAGTGTTTTCCCTCCCAGAAGCCTCTGAACAGGAGAATAAATATTCTTCTCTGGAGATATTCAAGACCCTCCTGGACAAGGTCCTGTGCAGCCTGCTGTAGGTGACCCTGCTTTGGCAGGGTGGTTGGACTAGATGATCCACAAAGGGCCCTTCCAACACCTACGATTCTGTGATCCAGCCATCATCACTGTATAAGGACTCCTAGATAAGCCACTTGATTTTCAGTGGCACTAAGTCTTCATAAGTTTTCATGAAAGCTGCTGGCAGCTTTTGGTCACTGAGTGACCAAGGATTAGGAGACAGACTCAGCTACTTATTTCTGACTACCCGTCTCTCCCAGCTATAGCCCTACCTCTTCTTTTTGGCTAGAGTGGTTTCCTATTGGAGAGGCTTGGGAGTATGAGCTCTGCTCCATACCTTTCAGCAAGTGTGTGGCACTCCTTGTGCACAAAATGGTGATGAACTGTATCTCATCGGTACCTCGAATTTTCTCCCCAGCAGCATAAAGTGTCTGTAATTTAACACACCATTGTTAGAGAGATGTTCTGTGTGTGCAGTTGGCAAAGGAACAGAGTTTGGCTTAAGGCACAGCTAGGGTAAAGGGGTCTGAAGTAACCTAAAACGCTGTGTGAACTAGACTCTCCTAGAATGGTTGATTATGAAAACCCTTGACCTTGCCTTCTAGTCAAACCTATCTCCATGCTTTCCAACCCTCCTGCAGCAGCTGGTGCAGCCAACAATACTCTTGAGATTTATTCCCTATTCTTTGCTGTTCCACTCCACCACATCTGTATATTTTCACATATCAAAAGCAGCTGAGCCCAAGCACAGCTCTCATCACTGCTCTTTGGAACAGGAAGGCTCAGTAGTGCAGGCAAAAATTAAGAACCTCAAGTTGCTTCCACTTGAAGACCACCTCTCCCCAAGCTATTGTGGCTCCAACCCTCTGCTGACCAGGACTCTGCTGCCCACTGAAGCACTCTGAAGTCCAGGGCAGGTGGGATGCAGGCCTATCACTGATCACACAGGCACTTGAGAGTACCTTTGCATCCTGGAGAGCCAGTGCTGTGTCCACGTAGAGAGTGGCATTGTCCCTCTCACCCTAGGAGAAGAAAAAGAAAGTAACCATTTTGTCTCATGAAGATTCTCCCATATATAAGGATCATAGGGTACATTCTGGGCAAAGATCAATTATCCTTCTCAGCTATCTAATTCTGCAGAATACTCGAGCAGTAATGTTTCAAACAGCACAGTGCTAACTTCTTCACTGAAAGGCACTGAAATCAGTTACATGAAGTGGAGCGGAAAAATTGCTAGCTTATTCTGCTACTAGGCAGGAAAATTTGGAAAGTGTGATAGGACAAATGCATCTGAAGGCACTCAGCACTGAGGGAACAGACCTCTGGAAGAGTGGTGAATCATGGTTGAGTAGCATTGTTTTCTAAGACTTTTGCAGAGTGCAATGGGGTCCCCACAGCAGAGCTGACTATAAGTTTCCAGCTCTCTTACTGCTGCTAAGGGAGTTTCCCTGCTTTAGTCACACTGAAGCTGAAACACAGATCCAGTCCAAGCGACATGTGTCTCTGCAGTTTATCTGGTGATCATGACTGTATTTTCTCTTCTATTGCATATCTTCTCCAAAAAGGAAGAGAAAAATGTGAAGATCTTTGTACCCTCATTTCTCTTCTCTAGCATTACCTGAAGAAGGCAAACAAGAATCTGTTCAAAGTAGCCACTTGTTTCCGACTTTATGTCTTCTTCCAGATCAGAACCATATTCTACCCAAGGGAAAAAGAAGGACAAGGGAAGGATTTGTCATTTTGGTGATACTGTAACCAGGGTGATAGAATCAGTTGACCATAAACATGAACAGTGCTGCTATGTCCCTTGTACAGCCCTACCCACCTGGACATTAGGTCTGGGAACGGAGGGTCTATTCTCTACGTAACCGTTATCGCTAACCATAGTGGGTAATTGTGTTTTTGTCAAGAGAAATGATGGAGTGTGTTTCTGTGAAACGGACTGAAGAAACTGACCAGGACTGCCAAGCTTGCGAGCCCAGTAGGTACAAGGTAATTCCAGCAGGGGGAGATCGCGACCACCGACTCACTGACCCCCTACTCAAGTAATACCACCTACTCAAAAAGAAACGATAGAAGAGGGTAACTGAGTCTGCACAACAATTTACGTAGGAAGCGAGAAAATTTTACACCAATCGCCAAAGAGAATAATATTGAATATGCATGAATAAAATAAATATGTATATTTTTGATCTATATAAACTGCATGGAAAAGGTAGGAGGTATGCACGTTTGGTGGAATTATCCCCTGTGCATCCAGCGCTGCAATAAAGAATGCCTGCCTTTGAACACTACATTGGTGTTACGAGGTTTTATTCCCGGGTTTTCGGTGACAATACAGTCAGGATATTACTAGTCACTCCAGGAACCACAATAGCCTGACATTAGTCAAAAAGGTTGCTAGGGAAAAAAAAACAGGGCTGAGATCAGCTCACACCGCCAGTGGCACCCAGGTCAACATTCGCATTTACCCAAGTCACTGACTCCACATATGTCCAAGGCATAAACACAGAGCTAATGTTATATAGTTTCAGGGACCAAAGAGACACTAAATATTTACAAATATGTATTTGATAAATTCCCATTTAGAGTGTATTTAATGGGGACCAAAAGCCAAGTGCATAGCTACAGTTTTGTTTGCGTTCTGACAATAGTCTGTGCAGTCAAGCTGAACGAAATTTGTGATTTGCTGACCTTTTGCTCTAATTGGACAGACAGTTAGAAAGGGATTTTCGAATTCTCTCAGCACAGCCATGTTCCGTTTGCCAGGCTAACAGCAGAGTTAGGTTGCACCTTCTTGCTTTTAAAAATCCCATTTTCCTGATGATTTCTATATGTGCAATCAGGCAGTTACACATTGCTCTGACCATACAAATCAGAACCCCAGGTACTTTACCTTCTTTGTATGCCTTGATTATCTCTCTGATCTGCGCTTTTGTCCGGGATGCCAGGATCTCTGTGATAACATCTTCACTTGTTCCTACACCCTTTAACAGAAAACATAGTGGAGAAATACAGGTGGAGAAAGGCATCCAGAGTGTAATTTATTGCTAGACAAGTATGGTCAAGTGAGGAGTCAGATGGCAGCAAAGCGTTAGGCTATATGCTGAGCTGTGAGAAACAGTCAGGATGAAATCTGGAGACACAAAGCACATTTGGTTTGAACATGGCTTCTTTTACTGAGGTGCCTAATTTGTAAAGGATGATTTTATATAACCCTGCATTTCTGCAATGCATTTCTGGATCTTTGGTGACAGTGTTAGAGGGATGTGGGGAGACCAATGATTGCCTAATCAGTCCATCTTTGCACCATTTTAATAGACCTCTCTGCATCTGAAATTTCAAAAGTTACTGTATCAATAGGTAGGATCCCAGCCAACCCCAGCCTGGCTCTTGCACCACCATTCCTTAATTTCTTAAAGGTTTCATATCTCAGGTGGGGCATCAGGTCAGTAGCTTTGTGTCATTGAACTCCATTCACAAGAGACGCTGCAGAAAGCAGCGAAGAAGGTGTTTAACTGAAAACTGTCATCTGTGGATGTTCTTTCCTTGCCAAAGTTGAGTTTAGTTTTGCTGTTGCCTCCCCCAGGCTCTGTAAGACACGTATGTACAGAAACTCTCATACACCTCTAAATATTAAAGCAACATTTTCCCACAGATATGCATTAATAGCACAATTAACTATTTCTCAAAAGCTACTGCTAATGACAAACTTGATCATGTATCAGTCCAGTTACTACCACTTGTGTTAATAAGCACAATTACAGGAAATTAACATTGGATCTGTGCTGCTGCTTAAATATTAGCACGGAACTCGCTTACCTTCATAGCATCATGGAGCTCCTTGGCATCATACTTGAATGGGGAGTACATGAGAGCTACAATGAGCCTCTCGAAGTTGCCACTCAGTTCAGACTTGAGGCTTTCAATCAGATCCTGTTAAAAATGCACCACTCAGCTACATAAAAAGCCTCAGAGGATCTTTTTACTGCCTAGTGCTATTTGCATCCCCAAGGCCTACAGCAGTGAAGCTGAATGACAGTATTGTGTTGATAGTTTATTAGAAAAGGTCCTGGGACTGAAAAAGGCACCTAACTCCAAAACAGGATTTGTTTAGGTCTTTGCATGTTCCCTGCTGTCCCATTACTCAGGATTCTCCCAGGTACTAATTGATTCTGCAGCAGAGTAGAGAAGATAGAAATGTTCCTCCACCCTGCTTTACTCAGTGAGCAGAACCAGGCAGCTGAAGGCCTTGAATTGAGCAAGGGATGTAGATTCAGACAGAGCCAATTCAGAAAGCCTGCACACACACAGAGAGGAGTTTTGCAGAATCAGGCATGCAGTCTGTCTGAAAACAGACTTCAAACCTTCCTTTCACTGTAATGCAGGGTTTTTAGGGTATGACTCACCCTGTTTTGGTGGGATGGAAGCACTCTATTCATTGTCCCACACCTGCCCCCATCCGCCCGCCCTTGCACGACAGCCTGCCTTGCAGCAGGAGTCATTGGAGACTCCTATTTCTATGCTGACCCAAGAGCCTATATTGCTCTTTCCCAGTACATTTCTTCTTTCCCCCTCTTTAACTGTGACTGTCAGACAACTACCTCCAGAGTATGGCTGGTGGAAGACTTTTCCTAACAAAAGTAATATTTTTAGCAAAACTTGCCAACCATATCCTGGGCTGCATCAAAAGCATGGCCAGCAGGGTGAGGGAGGTGATTCTGCCCCTCTACTGCGCTCTGGTCAAACCCCACCTGGTGTCCTGCATCCAGCTCTGGAGCCCTTAGCACAGGAAAGACAGAAAAGGGCTCCAAACCAGTATTTTACTCAAAATGCCACTTAGAGAGGTATCCATTTTTGTCATAGATCCAAAAGCAATAGGAAGTGACACTTTAAGTTAAAATATTTTTTTAAAATATTTCTGGTCAAAATGCATTTTACAAGAAAAATTACAGTCTTTGGGGGAAAAAAAGTTTCTCCAACGAAAAATTAATTTCACACATTCACCCAAGGCCTTATAAATAAATATTAATCTACTTATTTGCAGAAGACCTACATATTGGTTACACCATGCTTGCAGGATGAACTGTACACCCATTTACTACATCCTGCATACAGTGAAGCAGTGACTGAATATGACTTTGTTTTGGAAGAACCTTTCCAAACTGTCCTTTGAAGGATCTGGCAATCTGTTGACGCTGCATATTGCTCCTCTTAGTTAGGACATCAATTATAGCTTGTTCATCAGTCCCTGTGAAGAGCAACAATAAGCCATAAACACAGTGTGCAGAGTAAGTTGAGACTAGTCCAAAATCCCAATTCATGTACTCAGACAACTTTCCTTCATTCATTGCCTTCATAATGTAAAAGTTTAAGTATGTATCAAAGAAAATTTAATTTTTAATTTTCCACATTAATAAATGGTACTTCTGGTTGGAGTCAACTCACCAAGCCCTTTCATGGCCTTGTACAGAGTCTGAGCATCAGGTGTGGGGTCAAAGATTAAAGCACCTGTCACGGACTTGCCCTCTGCTTCACTCTGAAAAAAATAAGAAAAATATGGGACCTTTCACCACTGCTTGTCATCTGCTGAAGAAAAAGTATTTTGGAAAGTAAATTAGTATTAATCATTGCCTAGACATGGGGAAGGCACAGAAGAGTGGAGAGGTTGGTTCAAAGTGTCTCAGCAGAGCTCTGAAGAGAACACAAGTATCCTGCCTCCAACTGCCTCTGTCAGCCTCTGGATCCTGGCAGAAACATGAAGTGCAAACCATGACTGACACTGCTGCAACAGTCATGAGGTGCAGGCAGTCTGACAGAAAAAGCTGAGTAGGCCAGCCTTTCTTCTCCGCCTGCTAAATAAGATACTTCATAACACGGACACTATCCTATTACACTGCTAATAGGAACCGCATTTGTCTGTGGTTTGATTTTACCCATAGTTTTTTGATTCCATGGAATAGTCATGCTCTCAAAGATCATTTTTCTAGGTAGCTGCTTTATTCTCCTACTGCTGCTTCACTTACACACAGCTGATTTCAAGAAGGAAGTGTCTCTGCTGGAAGGATTTGGACCAAGCGACTACTTTGAAGGAACAGATCCATCTGAAGAAGTGCAGGTTTGATGTTTTCCCCTGAACCAAGGGCCAACTATGCAGGAATCCTCCAGACAGACCCCTTAGGCACTGTCAATGCTAGAGACCAGGGCAGAAAGACATGCTGAAACTTATTCCAATCACCACAAAGTAGTGGGGCCATCAACCAAAACCCAGGCTTAAGAGTCTGAATTTAACAAAAGTTGTTACTCCAGGGAATGCCTCAAATATGTTGATGCACGTCTTAACAATAAGGTCCTATCAACAGGGGAGTACATGAGTGGTTAGTCATTGAGAGTCATCACTTTATTCCAATAATTGATAGAATTTTCTCTTCCTTAGCAGCAGAGAGAAACTACTCTAGCCCCAGGAAACTACTATATTCTTATGAATTCACTTGCAGGGATGTGCAAAAAAGATATCAGCATGACTTGATGGATTTTTCAATGGGGTGGCCTCAGAGTCAGACAAAAAGCACCTTCAGATCAGAGCTTACAGACCAAAAGGAATCACTTTAGTTGCCCCACCTGACTTGCATAACATGGACCACCAAGTGCTACCCAACTATCTCCTGCTATGGTGCAAATCCTTTCTGCTCCTATCTCCTGTGCTAAAGAGGGGTCTAGCCCTCTTCTCCTAGACCCTCATCCAAGACCTCCCCAGAGAAAAAGCCTTCAAGAAATCCTTGCTAGGTAGAAAAGCTTGTCAAAATTCCCTTCAGGACCTGCATTCCTGGTTTTTAAGGAGAGTCTGGAAGATTAATGGCTGCGTGCTCAGGAGCACCTACCAGCAAATGCCAGGTCTAGCCTAGTGCCACTTCTGAAGTATACCCACTCTGCTGCACAGATGCTCAGACTGGCTCTGGACAAACCAGCTCAGGTGTTCTTGTTGAATGCTTTACCAATATGTTGTCCGAAAAAGGTGGATTCATCGCCTAGCGTGCAGTAAGTCAATGATCACACAGAGACATTTCTTTCATTTCTTTCAGGGTTGCGCAAGCGTGTGTGCTTGGTGGTTTCCCACAAATCAAGCACACCCGCTTACAATCACATTGCATATTTATACATTAAAGAATGTTTAAAAAATGTTAGTACCACCTATTAGCCATACCTTCCTAGCTACAATTGGTTAGTTCTTTTCTTGCTTCAGTTTAAAGACACAGTGCTCCTAAAATTCACTAGGCATGCTCAGCAGGTAAGGGTCTTTGTCCAGGCTGGGGTCTCCAGCTCAGGGGGTGTGACTTTTAGTATTATAATCAGGGTAGTTCAACTAAGTACACAAGAATTCTTCTTTTCTCTGCAAAGTTTTTGATGTATGTGAAACACCCTGATTAACTGTACTCCTCAAGGTCCAGTTACTCCAGCATGTCCTTGGTTAAAAGATACCAAGTGTTTGCTCTTCTGATGTGAGGTCATTCAGTGTCCTCCACTTGTCAGCACACACCAGGAACATCTTGACACAACTAGCTAAGCTTCTGAGGTAGTTTTCAACAATCAGTCAGCGAAGATTCAGAGTTTGTCTTCAACAGGTAGACACAACTGGCACATGTTTGCATGCTAGCCCCTTTGCCAGTCAAGCTCTGGGAGCAGTGACAAGCAAGCAAGAGGCAATGATGAGTATCAAGAGAGGCAGAATGTTCATCTGTCGGCAAGATCTGGAAGAGGTCTTCTGTTTGCAGAAGTTTGCTTTATAGCCAGCACAGAGACAGACTGTTGTGCTACCACATCCTGCTCCCAGCAGAGAGAGAAGCTGCAGAGCTGACAGCATCAACAGGAAAGTTCTTACTTGATGCAGCTTTGAGTCCCAGTGACTGCTGAGCAGCAAATTTAAGGCTGTGGTGAAGCTGTCACTGCAGAAAGAGAAATGACTGGCTAAAGCATTGCCACCCCCAAAAGTTTGTCATCAGTTTGTGTTTTGGTTTGGCCTGGATAAATGCCAGATGCCCACCAAAACTGCTCTATCACTCCCCCTCCTCAGCTGGACAGGGAAGAGGAAACTTGATGAAAGGCTCGTGGTTCGAGATAAGGACACGGAGACACCACTCACAAATTACTGTCATGGACAAAACAGATTGAACTTGGGGAGAAAAGGAAAGTTCAATTTATAAAACACTTTCTCCCTACATCTCCCTTCTTCCCAGGCTAAATTTCATTCTCGTTTCTCTCCCTCCTCCCCCCGAGCCGTGCAGGAGTACGGGGAACGGGGGTTGCAGTCAGTTCCTCACACATTGTCTTTGCCGCTCCTTCCTCCTCAGGGGGAGGACTCTTCACACACTTCCCCTGCCCCAGCGTTGAGGTCCCTCTCACAGGAGACAGTTCTCCACAAAATTCTCCAACGTGAGTCCTTCCCACGCGCTGCAGCTCTTCACAAACTGACCCAGTGTGGGTCCTTCCCATGGGGTGCAGTCCTTCAGGAACAGGCTGCTTCAGCATGGGTCCCCCACGGGGTCACAAGCCCTACCAGCAAACCTGCTCCGGTGTGGGCTCCTCTCTCCATGGGTCCACAGGTCCTGCCAGGAGCCTGCTCCAGTGTGGGGCTCCCCACAGGGTCACAGCCTCCTTCAAGCATCCCCCTGCTCCGGTGTGTGGTCCTTTCCATGGGCTACAGGTGGATCTCTGCTCCACCATGGACTGCAGAGGGGACACC